GCCGTGAAGAAGAAGGATCTCAATGTCCTGTGAAAGTGCAGCAAGCTCTCTGAGTCATCAAAGAAAGATTTGATTCGGTTACATCTCGTTGGAAGCATATGATGTTCCAGATATTTTAAAATTGGCAATCCATGTTCTACATTCAGTCATTGTTAGATTCGGTTCAAAAGGATCTATTGAGGACTGGCTACATAGAAGCCTTCCTTCCCTAATAAGAACATTTGCTTAACTTAAATCATTTTTGCCCCACCCAAAGGTGGGATGTAAACAAATGGTAACAATGACTTTACTTTTGTGCAATGTAAACAGCTGTCTTAAGCTTACCACTGCTTTTCCTTCCTCTTCTGTCAATAGTCATTCCTTTCTTGGATAAGAATCTATTGAGCACCACCTGTATATGAGGAACTGGCCCATGACTTTGAGAGACTAGTCATTTTCCAAAGGAAAGATTTCATAAATACTGCATTATGACACAATAGGATCAATGGTGTAGCAGAGGAACACACACGCCTTGGTGGCCCTTCTGAGGATGTGTGTAAGGTTGGCCAGAGAACTGGCTTTTACGCTGCAAGACTAGGAAATGTCCAAAGTCAGGCAGGAAGGCGTGCCAGGAAAGTGGGGGAGCCGGTGCAAAGGCACTGAGGCTAGATGGAACTGTCAGCTCAGCGTAGTTCCCCGTGGCCAGAAGGAGCCAGAGCCTCAGGGAAGAAGACTTTAGCATCACATTAGAAGGGCCTTGGGAAAGTAGCTAATGGAAACAGCAGGAACCAGGATGAGATTGGTTGGGGGGGCGGGCAGGTGACATGGTCAGATTCTGCTTTTCGGGTATAAATTAGCAATCTGCATGGAGGATTCCTTGGGATGGGGCGACAGGGACCTATGGCAGAAAGATCAATTAGCATTCAAGTGACAGAGGATGAAAACCCTTGTTGAACCTGAGCCCTGGGAGTTGGAGCGAGGGGCCGGGTGTGGCAGTTAGAATCAGTAGCCGATTTGGCGTGTGTCGTGGAGGAGAAGAGTAGGCCCAGGCGGACTGTGGTTTCCCTATGGAGTCACCTCATGGTCCACGGTGGTGAATGGAATACGAAATATGGGGTAGAGAATTACTTTCGTGGGGGAAGATGAATGTGTTTTGGGATGTGGTGAATTTGAGGTGCCTTGGGGTATTAAGTAGAAATGTCTGTAGTTGAAAATTACACACACACACACACACACACACACACACACACACACACACACACAATCTATCTCAGGAAAAAGGCAGGGGAAGTGATGCTGCAGGAGTCACAGGAATCAAGGCCATGTGTGCAGAGCGAGTTGATGGGAAGAGGCTAGGGATGAGAAGAGAGAGGGCAGGCTGCCCAGGGAGACCCCTGGGTGAACAGTAGCTTTTCTGTTTCTCTTTCCCCTCCCTGGCACCTTTCAAATCTTACACGGCCGGCCAACCTCTCCTTTTACCCATTGAAAAACGGAAAGTTTGCAGTTCACCCTTAATTTCCAATTCCTAAGCAGCACATTTGGCTGGTAGATGAAAATTTTTCTGCAAAAGCCCTCCTATCATTTTCCCTTAAAACACGCTAGAGGCATTTTACAACTTAAACCAAGTAGATTTTCCCCGGGAGTTACATCCAGAAAAGAAATGCATGATCTGTGTGGTCAAAGTCTGCCGAAGAGGCTCTGCTGACTATTTTTAGAGTGAACATGGAGATGGAGTGCAGATACAGCGCGAACAGCAGAGGAATGGGTGGAGGGGGGAGAGAGCGAGGAGGCCGGGGAGAGACCTTTCGTTCTTCAGAAGAGGAAAAGGAGCCGATTCCTTTGGGCAACACTTCCCAAATTTCAATTCACCACTTTCATGGATTTTGAGAGATTCCCCACACCATCTGCCCAATTATTTACTTAACATTTTTTTCCTTTAAATCAATTCACTTTTTTAAATTTAAAAACTTTTCTTATATAAAACTGGTAATATCACTTTTGAAAATGGAGACCTACATCAATTACAATAAACAGCTAAGAGGATTAGTTTTAAAGTTAAAAGCTTCAATAAAAAAATTGAAAGTTATTACGTTCTTGCTGGATACTGGTGCTTGCCCAGGGCTGTTAACCTGAGTCCTGCTCTGTCTTTGCAGAGAAATGTGATAGGAAAGCATTAGGAAGGTTTTAAAGACGTTTTAGTACCAAACTCGGATTTCCCCCTCTAGGTAGTTGAAAGGATTGAAATAAATTTGAAAAGAGAACGACTTTCTCATGAAGTAATTTGATGTTATTTAATGTTGGGGACTACAGGTGGCATTCACTCAGCCCTTTGGGTAACTTGTCCTAGGATTAATGCGGAGGAGAGCTGAGGTGAGTGACTGGGGCCTAAACAGCTTGGAACCAGCTTGAGGTTTAGAGCCAATTTCCACCCCCTTCCCTTGGAGCCTACAGCAGTGAAAACTCAAAAGAGTCCATTCTCCTTGGTGTATATAATCCCCAGAAAGATTCTAAGAGCCGTGCATGGACTCTTCAGGCATTGGTGTTGGTGCTCCTTGATGAAACAGGATCCATCCAAGGGATGGATGCTAGGAGGAGAGCCAGTGGGGCTTCAGGAGCGGAGAGAATGCGATGGGCAGAACCGAATGACCCTGCATGTCTTGATAGGAGCAAGCAGCACAGCCACAGCCTTTGGCTGGTGAAGGAATACAACTTGGAAAGCCTTATGCATCGCTGCCTTAGCAGCAGCATCCCCAGAGAGGGCCCGGTGGGCAATCCATCATGCGCCCGTGTGCTTTATGAACAGTGACGTGCACGGAGCCCATCCGTCATCTGGGAAAGAGACCGCAGCTTAACGGGGCCTGGGGATGAGTATTTCACATCACTTACTCGTTCGTTTCCAAGATCTGACTTTCCAGGACACGACACAAGTTTGAAGTCATTTGAAATGCTAAAAAAAAAAAATAAATGACAACTCTCATCTTCCCACTGTTACTACGATGGGGATGTTCTGAGCTTTCTGCTTTCATCGAATTAATTGCCCGTTCCTTCGCAATGGCTTAGATACAAGGATGCGGACACTGTCTGAGAGAAGAGTCTGGCTTTGAATGGTAATGAGGGATATATGCATACGGTTGCTGTTCTTCTGGAAAGCGAGGTGTGCATGAAGGTTCCCTGACCCATCAAGGGTGTAACTTAATTTAGAATGTTTGCTTGGGATGTTTGAGGTAAGCGCTAGAAAAATACAAACATTCTCGGACTTGCTGGAAGGTCATAGTTTAGCCAAATATTGTCACTTTTAATTCAGCTTAGAATATCGGAATGTCAGAACTAAAAGGGGCCACTGGGACGCTCTAATTAAAGGCCCTCATTTTTCAGAAGAGGAAACTTAAAGGCTAGAAATGACTTGCTCACGGCCAGGTCATGGAACTCTTAGTGGACAGGGGAAATAACCGTCGCATAAGCCAAATAAAAGATCGTATAAAGTAATAGAAAATACATCTCCTGGCTGCTGAAGAGAGACTATCCAAAATTCAAATGGAGGTTAGTTCAAATTAATTCTTCTTGTTTATGATGAATAGTTTCTTCTCCTCCCTGGCTGTCTAGACATTTAATAAATTTTGTCCTAGTGATTAGAAAATTTACTTAAAATAGGAGGTGTAAACAAAGAAGCAAAAAGGTAGCAATGGGTGAGACTGTTAGCTCATCCATTAGATCTTACCCTGCTACAGGGCTTTCCCAGGGACCCCTTTTACGAGAGGCAACTTCACATTGAGGTGAAAGGTATTTTCTGTGAACAGTTCTGAATCTTCTGTCATTTGGTGAAGCCACATGGTCCTATACAACTGCTTAAAGAGGCTCAGTGAGAAGATGCCCTAGGCCCTGCCCAAGTGTGAGCACCTCCTGACTTCTAGGCACATGGTATCCTATTAAAATGAAACCTTAGCATTTTGCCAGAGAGAATGAGAAATTTTTAAAAGAACACATAGGCAACCCAATTGAGCTCCAGTTTGCTCAGGCCTTGCGCTGCTGTTCTCATCAGAAATAGAAAAGTAATGGAAAAAGCAGCACTGTTCACTTTTTTCAAGCAAAATTAGATGTCATCAACTGAAATGACTGCTTTTGACCACTTTTCTACCATGCCATTGAAAATGGGCTTCCAGCTAAGGGGGCATTGATCTTTCTAGTAATAACAGTAATCAACCCTTGGGTTTGTACAGAGCTTTGCAGTTACCAGAGCACTCACCTGTATTGTCTCATTTTGTCCTCATGGCACCTGTGAATAGGGATAACTTTTCCCACCCTATAGACAAGGAAACTGAGCCCAGCCCAAGTTAGCTGACTTGGGAATTAAAACACAGGTCTTTTGACTCAAAGTTTAGTGCTCTTATCACTATATAATGTTTCCTTTTATCACTTATAAAATCTACTTTATTGCAGCACCATGCCCTGCACTGGAAGGAAATACCGTACTGAGAACTGAACAGAAAGTGCTCAGCATAGTTCTTGACCCGTAGTAAGTGCTTGGCATGGGGTAGCTACTGTCGAGGAAGAGGCAGTGTGGTGGAATCATTATTATCACAGGTTTGGGATTAGAAAAATCTGGATGTGAGTCTCAAACCTGGCTCTTTCTGCTCTCAGAAAATGCAAGACATGAGCTGGGCCAAATGGTTTAACTTCCCTGAGGACCGTAACAGCCACCTCACGAGGTCTAGCTGTGAGCCGGACTGCCATTGTGCACGCCGGGCTCACCATAGTGACTGTACTTAGTGTTAGACAAATGTCGGGAGGATTACATCAACAGAATATGCTCATAGACCTGTCATAACGAAAACAAGCAATCCCTGCCTTGGAACCAGATGTTGACATTTCATAGTAGGACTCCTTGTTTTTTAAGTCTCAGGTATTCAAAGGCCTCCTGTCTCTACCTCTTGACTTTCTGCATTTAAGAGAGTTTGCTAGAGTGCTCAGTGGACCCTGCGGCTTCCTGGTCTACAGAGCAGGCCTTGCTTATGGCCAGGTACCTGTAGATGATGCACGCCGTGTTCTGGCAGGTACTGCAGTTGTTGAGATCTTGGCCAGTTCGGTAAAAGTGGCGCCTGCAAGACAGAGCATTCGCTGGATCAGTCTAGGGGCAAAAGCCCTGTGGGCCACGCACATTCTCCCAACTGGTCCCTTTAGTCCCTACAGCACGGCATTCACGATGCTCTGAAGTTGCATGAGCATTACAAATAAATAAGAAAATCATGCCAGCAGGAGCTCACAGTTCTAGAGGGCTTTATACACATTTAAACACTTTTCAGTCTGAGGGTTTCCGTGCTGATGATGGTGCTATGAGAGGAGGGCTTTGCAGGGCGCAGAAGGGGATTATGAAAACTCCCGACCCCCTGGTTCGGTGCGTTTCCCTCCGCACTGTCTCAGTGCTACTCTCCGATGTGGCAGCTGAGATGCTGGTTTATAACAGCAATGCCAGTTCCTTCTCTTGCCCACCCCTTCTTTTTTTTTTCCCTTTTTATTTATTTCAAGGTATTACAGAGTCACAGTGTTTTTGGTTTCAAGGATCACTTTTGTAACGATGAACTTTAGCCATTGCTGCCTCTCTGTCTTTAGACATCTCATCTCTCTGGAGAGAGGAGCACTCCACACCTAAACAAATAGCTGCTCTTCCCTCCCTGGACTGGTGCTGAGTCACCCAGGAAAGCATTGTGTGACTGTTTTCTCTTCGCAGAATTGTGATCTCATTTCACTTCCTACTTAGTTGGTCAGAGATGGATCAGCCCAAGTCATCGATGTGGTCAGTACGGGGGCAGGTCAGGAGTAACTTAATGGGCACCTTACGTCCTTTGTGACAAACACACAAAGAACTAAGATACCTTGCAAATGCAGGGACTCCTAAGAGCATGGGGTGGGGGAAGTACCTTCCTGCTATCCTTCCACCCCCCATCATTGGCCAACCCTGGCCTCATTTTTTATAAAAAAAAATGATTTTTTATAAAAATCATTTTTGAGCCTGCTGCTTTATTGCTGCCTTTCTCTAGCCTGGTAATACCTGAAAACAAAAACAAATAGCAGTGGAAATCCACACAAATCCCCCAAAGCCCAGAACTAAATGAAACCCAGTCTGAGCAAAGGGAGGCTATTGGTTACGATTTGGAGAAGCAACAGACTTTAAGCATTTTGGAGACATTTTCCTGGTGGAAATGCTCTCACTCTGCCCCTGTGTTGGCAAACGACTTCACCTGGTAGTTTTTAATATGAAAAAATTTCCCCTTACCCTTCTGTGAGAGCTCGAGCTTTCTCCAGGTCTTGAATTACATTCAAAAGGACTTTAATTTTCTCTTGGTTCGAGTGCAGAGATTCCTCCACGGATTGCAGCCGGCCTTGGAGGTCGCAGAGCTCCCCCCGTGCCAGGTGAATCTGATTAATGCCACTAATCTCCCTGTTGCTCTGAAGTTTGGTCTCGCTCCTGGGAAGGGAAGATGGGAGGTGACTGCTTCCTGGACAATTTGGAAACTCCAGGGGGTCCCCCTGAGTGGGCTCCTTTGCCATCTGCTCCGGACACGCAGGGGAGGATTTTGATGCACTTTGAGTTTTGAGTGACGCCAGATTCTGGTGATTGCCACTGGATGCAGGACAGTCTGGGGCTCTTGCTGGGTGGGCTGGCTGGCTGTGCGAACCTGGCGAGGGGGAGCTGTGAGTCCGTGGAGGTGAGGGAACACATGTTTCCTTTGACTGCGATGACAGTGGGCCGAGGTCTTTGTCATCGGTGTTGTCTTTGGGCAAAAGCAATTCAGGTTTGAGTTTCTCTGTGCCTGGCGTGTGGTTGGCACCGCTGGTGGCATTTGAGCAGGAGGGGGATCTTGCTGAATCTGGTGGAGTCACCCTTCTCCTATCACCTGCACACGGGTCAGCCAAAGGGTGTATAGAGTTGCTTATTTCAGCCGACCTGTGTGGACTGAAAGTGGACTCTCTGGCATCCCAGGAAGGACTGTGATAAATATCATCTGGGACCTGAATGGCAGCTGTTGCTTTCTCTGCAGACCTCCAGGTTCCTGCCTCCAAGCAGATGCTAACGGGCCCGTTGCTCTGCACCTTGGACACCCCAGGGGGAAATGGGTGGGGCACCTTGACCCTTTGAGGCCCATCCTCAAGATGCTGAGCCAACCTCAGGTAGGCAAGGTTAGAAGATACAATGTCCTGCTCAGAGAGGGTGCCGTTGACCTGGATGGCACTTGGGCATGTTGTTGGCATTTCCACCAGGGACTTGCTAGATGTGAGTTTCTTCCTTTTGAAAACTGGGAAATGCTTCCTGAGACTGGGGGAGGTTTGGATTGCAATGTTCCGAAAGCCCCCTGCCTTCTGGGACCTGGGGAAGGAGAGCGAGTAGGTGGGGGGGTGATGGTGCCTGGCTGCTTGAGTCTTCCTCATCACCATTGGGTCTTCAGGAGTGTGGACGTCAACCTCAGCTAGGCCAGTCGGGTTCTTTGTGGTCCCATCTTCCTTGAATCTCACCTGCTGGGATTTGCTCCTGCGGTGGTGAGCTTGTTTCACGAACTCCACTGACTCTAGACTGTTACGCTTTAGGAGCACAGGTCTCACTTTCATATTTTGCTGGGCCATTGAGCCTCAGTGGAAAGGATCGGGTCCATATGCTTCTCTGGGGCACATCTCCCTTAGGTCTTTGGAGCAGCTTCTAACGATGGCATCTCTGACATGGAGAACTGCCAGGCACGGTGGAGTGGTCCTCTCCTCTTGGTACAGGATGCACTGTTGGCCATTCCCAGCCTCTAGATTCCACGTGGGAGCTATCTGTAATGCTTCCTCTGCAGTTAAAGCATTATTTCATCACAGTCATAACTGCTACTTAGATAAACAGTAAGTTAGGCTGACTATTAAACATCTGATCTACCAAGAGAGCTGGTGGGCTGTTTACCAAGAGAGGCCAGCAGGCGGTTCTGATCTTGGAAGAAGCTGGCTGTCTTGAAAGAAAAGACAACAAAAGTACCATTTAGGGGGTAGTGCCAGACGCCCAATGTGTGAATCCCAAAAGAAACCTGCTATGTCTAGAACCTACAGCTTCCTTTCCTGGAGCATCGGTTTCCAGTGTAAAACCACAGGAAACTTACACACGTCTTCTTTCCATAGCATGTAAATAGGCGGAGAAATAAATGGCCTGGGGGTTTGCTTCTGCCTTGAGGGTTGATGCTCCTAAGGGAACATCCCCATTTATGTCAATCACAAATGCCTCTTTTGGGGACATTGTTTTCTTTCATGCTGTCTCCCTTTTCTTCAGTGAGGGAAACTTCTCTTCCTAAGTAGCCTCACAGAACCAAGAGGGGTGTGACCAGGACATGACTGAGGCATCAGAGAGAATTCAGGGGGCCGAGTCCCCGTTGTGGTGTCGTGGCCGTGGTTCACAGGTGGGCAGAGTGAGCCATGTCTGCAGCCGCTGGGACGCTGGGCGTTTGCCTGGCCTTGTGGGTCGTGCTCTGAGACCAGGCCGTCTTGGCGAGCAGGTAGGCAGCGCCTGAAAGGGAAGAGACAACAGTTGCCACTGAGAATGCAGTTCCTGTGGACCTGGGTTTCTCTCCAAATTCCAACCTCCTAGCTGAGTATTTTTGAGTGGAGCGTCTAGGAATAAGTCAACCACACTGCCCTTCTCTCTGTTCTCCTGGTGAGCCAGGTACTTTGTGGGTACAGGGCTTTGGAACAAAATGCCTGCCTGCCCGAGCCCTTTCCTCCCTCACTCCCAGGCACCACCCAGCCAACTCCTATTCATCTGTCAAGTCCCAGCTTAAATGCTCCTTGGGAGTCTTTACGATGACTCCCCCTTACACATACCCCTGGAGGTAGACCACATGGGGACTCCCATTGTACATTCTCATTGCATTCTTCACACCACAAATTGCAGCTGGCATTAAGTCATCATTTGCGTATGTGTTTATTTAATGTGTATCTGCCTCACTGCCCTATAGATGAGCTGGAGCCATCTCATTCTCTGCTTGGGTATTCCCGGCCCTCTGTCTGGCCCACTGTAGGTGCGGGGTGAGCATTTGTTGAAAGACTGGGTGGCTGAATGAGGGCAGGTCCTGTGGGAGCAAAGGGGAGCCTCACTCGGGGCAGGTGGAGGTCCCAGGGTATCCTGCCAAGGCTACAGGGCTCCTGGGTTCTCTCTGCTATGATTGCAGCATTTACTTAAGGGCAAGATTTCCCCCAACATCTTCATATTTTATTGATTTGCAAGAGATAAACGTGGTTGAAATTCTCTGAGGAACTTGTACTTTGTAATAATAATAGCCACTATTTATTGGACATTTATTTTTACCATGCTGAGAGCTTTGCATGCATTACTTATAACAACTCCTGTTTACTGAGTACTAGCTGATGTGACAGGTGCTGTGCTAAGCACTTTCCGAGCCATAATTCATTTATTTATCACAAAACTACCCTATGAAGGTAGATTCTATAATTGTCCCCATTTTACAGTTGAAGCAGCTGAGGCCCAGGAAGGTTAAGTAACTGGCTTAAAGATACCCAACTGCCTTTCCAATTTTGTATTATCTTATTTGATCCCTACAAATTCATGAGGTGTTGTTATCCGTCTTAGACTGATGAGGAGACTGAAGCTTAGAGGTTAAGTATTCAGTAGAGAAGCTGGAATTTGAACCCAGGTGTCTGCCATTCCAAAATATGTGCTTTTTTTTTTTTTTTTGACAGAGTCTTGCTCTATTGCCTTGGCTAGAGTGCAGTGGCATCATCATAGCTTACTGCAACCTCAAACTCCTGGGCTCAAGTGATCCTTCTGAGTAGCTGGGACTATAGGCACATCACCATGCCTGGCTAATTTTTTCTATTTTTAATAGAGATGGGTTCTTACTCTTGCTCAGGCTGGTCTTGAACACCTGACCTCAAGCTATCCTCCCATCTCAATCTCCCAGAGTGCTGGGATTACAGGAGAGAGCCACTGTGTCTAGCCAAAAGTCCATGTTCTTAACCATGAGGTTATGACTCTGTCCTTTTGGTATCTGCCTAGTATGTGGACAGATGGTATCAGTGACTTGGCAGCAGGATTTAAAGACCCCTGCAGGCCTGGAGAGATATATGGATACATCCCCTGGCCTTCCCATGGCAAAGCAAATTAGAGAGTTTGCTGCCAAGTCCAAGGGATCCCAGTGGCCCTGGGATGAGGCAAGTTCCAAGCCTGTCTGGATTGACCAAGGGATTCTAAAAGAAAATAAAAGTGATAAATTAGTCCACAAGTACTTGGCTATCTCTGAGAAAATATTCTTCCTCTAGCACCCAGCCATATCATATAGATCAAAACATTAGCTCCCAAATGGGGACTGTTAATGACAGCTTCCATCCTGCCTTTTGGGGTATCCATTAAGTGGGTGCAGCCCCAGCTTTGTCCCTAAGGCTTCTGCTTTCCCCAGGGTTTGTAAATAATGCCCACGCAACATTGTCTTTTCCTGCTCCCAGCTGCCTTGAGAAAGTCCAGCTAACCCAGTGGGGCTGGGAGAATGTGCAAAAAGTCCTGAAAGAGACTAGAATTCATCTAAAATGCGAATGAGTTGTCAACTTGTCATCACCTTCTACAACTAACCACTCCTCATATTCCGATTGTACCTTAGAACTGGGTTCAAACCCTGCCCCTTACTGGCTGAAGGACTTGGTGGGTGTTTTTCCCATCTGCAAAGGGGGGATGACAAGGGATGATAGCGCAGACACAGACTGATGGGTCTGATGGGAAGTCAGTGAGACAAAGTCTGCAAGGTGCTCAGCCCAGAGCCCGGCACACAGTAAGCAATCAGTGTGTGTTTCCTGTCATTGCTATTATTACTATTGTAATCACCTGCAGCCAGGTTTCCTTGTTGTGAATGCCAGAGAGCGTGTGGATGCTCATGTCTCTGAAGAGAGGGACCATAGCTTTCAGCAAACTCACAGGGCCCAAATGGTGGGTGAACCACCATCTGCAACTTTCTAGAGCCAGGTAAAACCTCTCTTGGAACAGAGAATGAGCAGAGTTTGGAGGGCCCACCTCACTTGCTTCACCTGTCTGAAACGCAGTGCTGGCCCCTGCTTGGGTTGGGGGTTCTCCGTCACTCTGCACAACAATACCAAACAACCCCACTTTTAAAATCAATTCTACATTTCAAAGACTTTGAAAAGGATTTTTAGGTCTGGAAGAATAATAGTAGTCCATTCCTTCCATCCATGCTAAGTCCTCTCTGCATCCTCCTCTTCAAATAATTACACCTGCCAGGATACCTGTAGTGACAGGGAGCTCACTACCTGATCCCACAGTCAGTAATAATTATTTTCATTAATAGTTGCAAATGTGTATTCAAAACGTACTGTTACTAAGTGCTGTGTTAGCATTTAATCCTCAAAATGACCTTCTATAAATGATCTCCATTTTAAGAGTGAGCAGTTGAGATTTATGAGATGGTCACATCCTGAAACCATGCAGGTCACACCCTTGACCCTTGTACTACAGAGCTTAGATATTTGTATGCCTACTTTTGTGGGTTTCCTTGCTTCATTATTCTTTACTTTCTTCTTAACTGCTCATTAGCACTTCATTCTGGGAACATTAACTCACATAGGCTATGATTGTCTGAAGCTGGTTTTCATAAGAGCTAATGTCTAGTGAACAGTGAGTATTCACCAGGCATTGTGATAGGTGTTTTTGTTCACTGTCTCCTTTAGTCATTGTGACACTTAGAGGAAGGTGCTAGCAGTCCCCCATTTTATAATTGGGGAAACGGAGGCACAGAGGTTAACATATGTGCTCCAAGGTGCCCACCTGGTAAGGTGTAGAACTGACATTTGAACCCAAGTACCAGTGCTGGAGCAGGTTCCTACCAGTGGGCCCTCCTGTTTGCTCCTGGACTGGGAAGAACTAACCTTTTGTGCAAGGCTAGCAAGCAGGTTTCAAACTCCCTCCACATTTCCATTCTGAAAATCAACCATTATTCTAGTTTTAGCCCTGCCTTTTCTCCATGAAATTTATGTACCCTTTAGATGTTCTCTCTCTCTCTCTTTTTTTATCTTTAAAAACAGTTGGGTTTCTGTTTGTAAAGATATTATCAGTACATTGCAAAAATTCAAATAATATAGATAAACAAAAAAAGAAGGGGGAAGACACCTGAAATGTCACCACCCAGAAAGAGCTACTATGCACCAGCGATTTGGTGAAGTTCACTGTTGGCATCTCTTTGTGCAGTGCTTACGCTCAATTGCGTACATGGGCAGGTTTAGAGGGGGAAAGCCTTTTTATCAGTGAACAACCTGGAGAAAGTCACACATTCTGGTTTATAGATCACGCTGTCCTTTCAAGTAAGCTAACAAGACTTTGTTGTCTAGCTATAACCTGATCTATTTAAATGATATTTTGGTAGACATTTAGGTTATTTCTAAATATTTGATATTATTAACCACTTCGGTACCAGTGTCGACTATAGTCGATAGCCACAGATGAACGCACATGTCAACTTTAGCCGACAGCCGTGATATGACTTTTCTAATTTTTCATTTATCAAAATAAAATTGTGAACATTTAAAAATAACATAATGAAAACATATATGTATATGTTATCTATTCTGATTTACATTACAAGTAAAGCTGCCTGTAAAGTAAAGCAAGCTTTCAGTGCTTTAAAGCTTTCCTCATCACACAAGAGCAAAACGGATTTGTCGTCAATGCATGGCATAAACTATTGTGCAGACTATGGGTGCCGGCTGTGGGCAAGGTTTCGTGGCTGGTGAGTGCCGTACTGAAGTGGTTAATAATGCTATAAATAACATTTTTCCATGTGAACCTTGGAGCACTTGTCTAATCTCCTTGGAATAAATTCCAAGAAGAAGAATCAGTGGGTCAAAGTGGCCATACATTTTGCATTTTGTTAATATTACCAAGTTACCACTTTTCCTTCCAGAATATTCTACCAATGTGAAACCCCACCATTACTGCATGGGAAGACCCTTTCACCAGACCTCTTTGCCACGGCGTTTGGTCAATTTATGATGATTTTTTTTTATTGCTAATAAAATGAGAGAGAAATTATATCTCATTCTCATCATGGAATTAATTTAAGATTGAGCATTTTTTCATATGTTTATTGGTGTTACACTACGTTTGGTATAGGGTAAGTCTGAACAGTTGTGTTAACAAAAGACTATGAAATCTGGGGAGGAAAAAGGGAGAGCTTTATTTTCTATAAAAAACAATCTGCAGATGGGGAGATACAGACTCTGGTGTGAAACAAAAGCACATCTTGGAGAACAAAGAGGGGAACTGGCCTAAGTAGGGACAGTTCCCGCCCCAGTGGTCAATCAGGTTTGTATATGTAAATGAAAGTTTAAAATTTGTTGTGTCCTGATTTGTTGAAAATAACTGAGTACCGATTAGGTAATTTCTAAGCCCCAAACCGGAAGTCTTTGTTGGGTGCCCTTTTCAGGCTGGGGGAGGAGTTTTCTGCCAAATGTCTCAGCTCTAGTTACAGGAACAAGCCCTTAGCTCAGAGGCACAAACAGGACGTCTGACCTCTCCGGGAACGAAGTCTGTGTGACTGCCCTTGTCTCACTCGCCATGGCCACGTGGGTCTGTTGTCTCAACTTGGGCGTCTTTATTAGCCACAGGGAGTCCATCTCATTGGGAAAGCTTGGGGTCTTAGTTGCCATTTTATTTCAGTTGAAAATGAAAATTCCAATGGTCAAGCTAATGGGTAACCTCTTGCATCCTGGACAGAGCCTAGCAAGTTTAGGGAACACAAAATTTCCTCTTTAAACTTACTTTTATTTGTGTCCCAACTCCCTGCCTTCAACATCCACCGTGAACCTCTGCGCAGGCACACCCTGGGGAGTGCCCCTGGCTGAGAGGAGTAACCCTCTGGACGCCCTTAAGTCTCACGGGCTCCCAGCTGCCCACTAATAGACGGGGAGTTCCCCGCACGTTAGTCATTAGGGCTTAATTAATATCCTGGCCGGAGTCCAGAATCGCTCCCCGAGGTGTTCACAGCAGCCCGCCGCACACCCAGCCGCCCGGAGTTATTGCTGATCTTCGCAACACTTATTCTTTCCTCCCTCGGTTATTGACTTATTGAACACAAAGCAACTGTTTATGTTCCAGCTATGCCTTTGGTCCGCATCAGATGGTCCTCATGGAATCCGTGTCCATTCGGTAGATGCAGAAACATTTAACACTGTCTGCGTAGGTTGCAACAAGAATCCTCCACTTTCTCACTATTGACTGGGAACAAGTGACTTAGTCTTTGTAAAACCACATAGATTTGTTGCGACGATTAAGTGAGATAATCTATATAAAACGGCCAGCATAGTCAATGTTGGCTCTCCAGGTAGAACCCAGCAGCGGGAGCCCGTGAGATGCTCGTGCGTTGGTCTTGATCCCTCCACGTGCCCTTGGGAGGGCAAACTACAGGTGCGTTTGTGGGAGAGAATGTGCCTTCCCAGGAATCCTGCCCCTCCTCCTGCCACCTTCATACCTTGCCCACTTCGGCATTGCACTCGTCTCCCTGTATCGTGATCGTCTGCTGTCTTCCAGCCTCTTCAACTAGACTATGATCTCAAGTGCAGGACACGTGGTGATAGTCTGAGCCCCCACCCTTACCCCCAGCTTGACACAGCGCAGGTCTTACGTGAATTCTTGGAGAACAAATGAATATAATGCCATTTTGTCTAATTTGC